ACGCGAGGCGGCCAAGCCAGGCAGGGCAGGGCGCGCTGCCCCAACCCTCGCAGGCCTCAGGACGGCGCTAGCCCACTCCCAGCCAAGAGCCTGGTGCAGGCCACAGGCAGCCGCAGGGACCGGTCAACACTCCCCGAGGCCCCGCTCTGCTGCCGACGGTGACGAGGCCCTGGGCGGGTGCAGGTCCTGCACACAAGGGCGCCTCCTTTCAGCCGCTGGTGGTGACGGCCAGCTCCGTCCTCCCCGGTCCCGGAGCAGGAAGCCGAGGGGTCGCAGGGCTCCTGGCCCCGGTAGACCCCGCAGGGAGGGGCCGTGGCAGGGAGTGGCCTTCCTCGGAAGCTCATGGCCTCGAGATGCGCTTCTGGAAACCCCAGCTGCGCCCGGCCCGGCAGGGGTCACGCTTCACAGTCCCATGTCCCCAGGGCTGACGTCCGGAGGCAAGCCGCCCACACAAGACGATGCTTGCGGCAGGCCTGGGGTCCCAGACCCCGTCAGGACGAGCGCTCCCGGGCCCCACGAAAGGACATGGCCTCAGCCCGCAGGCCGCGCACCGGGCTCACCTGAGCGGTAGCTGCCACGCAGACAGAAGAGCCGGAACACGTCGGGGGAGAAGCGCTGCAGGAAGTCCTGGGGGAGAGAGGCGGTCAGACGGGCGCTCGGGCCCTGCCGCTGGTGGGGCTGGCCTTGCGGCAGCTGGGGACATCTCACCACACCGGTCGGGGGATGCGGGACGCCCATGAGCAGCAGGAAAGCACACCTCCAGCCTGCACGCCCGGCAGGACCTAGGAACGCTGAAGCGCGCACGCGAGCCAGGCACGGGAAGGCAGGGAGACCCGGGCCGCGGGGACAAGAGCCGCTCAACGGGACGGCAGGAGCAGGTGAGTATAAGGGGGGCGGGGGACCCCGGGGCGCAGACATGGTGTTGCACCTGGCCGGCGCCTTTCACGCGGGCTGGCCACGCCGTCGGCCACGCCGAGACACAAAGGTGCGTTACCTTGATGGTGATGTAGTTTTTCAACGACTTGGACATTTTTTCTTCCTTGCCTTTCACGTGCAAATGTCCTGGAACAGAAAGCACAGCGTTCGTCCTGGTCGGGCGGGAGGGAGACTTCAGCCCGCTGAATAGGAAGGGGAAGGACAGAGCTTCCCGCCAGGGACCCCCGAGCCACAGAGACGCCAGGTCATAGGGATGGCGTGAGGAGCTGTGTCCCATCCTATCACAGGACAAGCAGGCGCTGATCTGTAAGTTTGCCACCAGACTGTCCTCTGTGCTCAGCCCTCCGGGAAGATGTGACCTGCGCCTGTCTACGGCGTCAGGTACCCCCAGCTCTGCACCAGGCCTCGGCGATGGGGCACCCGGTCGACCCGGAACTCAGGCAAGAACCAACCAGGGTGCTGACAGCAATGGCTCACGCTCCACTTTCGGGCAATTCAGACACCGACGACACAGCCTAACCCACGGAGACGACAGCGGTCTCGTGTGCAGGTCAGGCGTGCAGCAGGAAAGCCTCACAGCCACACCTGCGGGGATTGCGGAGCACGTGGCCGACCTTTTGGGACCGTGGTCTTGCCTCAGCCCCCACACGTGAGACAGGAGGAAAGCCAAACCCGTCCAGGAGCGTCTCGGTCTCTTTCGGGACTGTACTTTTATGAGGTTTATCTCCAAGGGAGGCCTTTCCACTTCTAACAGAAGAATCTGCCTCTTTTTTCTGACAACTGCCCCAAAACCAGTTTTCTGAAAACTGGTTAAAATGTGGCTTCCAGAAATACACGCATGCAAACACATATAACCCTGAATATGTAATTATACTAATATAATATGAGGAACCCCCCCCAAGCCTCCTTTGGAGGGCAGCCCCTTAGGTGAGTGTTCGAGGAACCCACTGGCATCCGTGGACCAGAGAGCGCTGTGAGAGGCTGCGTTCGCCTTCAGGGGATTTTTTTTGGAGATTCTTTGAACAAGTTTGCCCCTTTCAGGGTGGGTGATTTCCAAGCACACCTGCCCACAGCATGCGGAGCATTCAGCAGTTTTTGACCAAAAACAGTATGACCCCTGTGCCCCACCCTCCCTATCCACCTGATCTCACCCCGAAGGACTTTTGTTTCCCCAGACGAAAAAGTCCTCAAAGGGAGACAGACATCTTGCGGATGCAGAAGAGGGGAAACCAAAAATGGCAGAAGCACTAAAAGGCATCAAATGGACAAGCTGAAAAGTCCTTTAGAGCAGTGGAAAAAGCATCTCGATAGGTGTCTTGTATCCAATGGAGAGGACTTTGAAGGTGACAGACATTTCAACATGGAAGAGTAAATAAACACACAGCTGGGCCTGGTGGCTCACACCTGTCATCCCAGTACTTTGGGAGGCTGGGGCAGGAGGACTGCCTGAGCACATGGGTTCGAGACCAGCCCGGGCGACATGGCAAGACCTTGTCTCTACAATAAATCTAAAAAAAAACTAGCTGGGTGTGATGGCTCACGCCTGTGGTTCCAGCTACCAGAAAGCTGAGGCGGAAGGATGGCCTGAGCCCAACAGGTCGAGACTGAGGTGGCCTTGAGCAAGCCACTGCACTCCAGCCTGGGAGTCAAAAAAAAAAAAAAGAGTAAATACACCATTGTTTATAAATAAATTCCAGATTTATTTATATATCAAATGTGGCTGTAATTTTTTAAATCTGGAAAACCACACACATCTGCTGTGGTCTGATTGCTGTGTCCTCCCAAGTTCATCTGTTGGAATCTTAATCCCTAAAGCAAAGAAGGTATTTGCAGGTGGGGCCTCTGGGAGGTGACTGGGTCCCGGGGCACAGCCAGTACGAACAGGATTCGCGCTCTTACAAAAAAGAGCCCAGAATTACGTCCCTTCTACCCAAGGCAATCAACAGATCTAATGCAGCAGTCATGACATTACCCCTAGCATTCTTCCCTGACCTGGAAACAACAATGCAGTAATTATATAGAAACATCAACGACCAAGAATAGCAGGGGGCACACCTCATTCACAAGGGTACCTGCATAATGAACATCTGTATACCTAACGCTGGACGGTACCCCACATCTTTAAAATAAAAAAAAGATCCCAGAGGGCCCCTTGCCCCTTCCGCCCCAAGGACACAGCGAGGAAATGGCCCTCCCCAGACGCCGGGTCTGCCGGTGTCTCGCAGACTTTCAGCTTCCAGAACTGCGAGCAGTGGGTTTCTGTTGCCTAAAGCCACCCAGTTCATGGTTTCTTGTTAGAGGAGCCCGAGCAAACCAAGGCGACATCTGATGACCTGGCTCTGCCTTCCGCACACTGACGGCAGGAGAAAAAGCGCCAGCCCCCCCACGTGGGCATGTCTTGCCGGCCAAGCTGGCACGAAGGTTCCTGTCAACTGAGTAGGCGGCTGGAGGCACTGAAAAACAGCACCGACAAGCACCCCCATTCCCACATGTGAAGGTGCACACGACCCTGGACCCTCAGCCCCAGCCCTCCTAGTTCACGGACAGAGGCTGAAGCGTCTGCACTGCGAGGGCCACCTCTCTGCTCCTAGACACAGCCCGTTAAAGGGCTCTCTGCGCCTCACGGTGCACATGACAAATTGTCACCCACTGTTGGAAGCAACCGACAAGCCGGGCTCGGGGGCTCAGCCTGTCATCCCGCGCCTTTAGGAGGCTGAGGTGAGTGGATTGCCTGCGCCTGTGGGCTCGAGACCCGCCTGGGCAACTTGGCGAGACCTCATCTCTACAATAAATCA